TCAAGGTTTCCAGTGTATGGCTTCATGAGCCACATGAGTAAGGGATAGTTTGAGTCTCACCGGATCACTATGGGAATTTCCACATCCCACATTGGAATCATCTGGTCTGGAAAGAAAGTCCCTGCATGCAGTTTTCTATACAGGGCAGTGTTCCTGAAGATGGGTGTGTTATGCACCTTTCCTGGCTACCCTGCGTTGATGTCAGTGAAACAACCCCAGTGATCCAACAGCACCTGCAATACTATATGAAAGTAGCCCTTCCTATTGATGTACTCCGTTGCAAGATGGTCTGAGGCCAAAATTGGGATATGCGTGCAATCTATTGCCCCGCCACAGTTAGGGAATCCCATTGCCGCAAAGTCATTCATTATTTCCCACACATTACCCAGAGTCGAAGTCCTTCGTAGCAGGAGGCGATTAATGGCCCTGCACACTTGCATCACTGCAACCCCATGGTGGACTTCCCAACTCCAAACTGATTCATGACTGACCGGTAGCAGTCTGGAGTTGCCAGCTTCCACACAGTGATCGCCCCACACTTTTCCACCATGAGGACAGCTCTCATTTTGGTGTCCTTGAGCTAAAAGGTGAAGGCGAGCTCCATACGGAGTTCACGAAAGGTGGCTTTGCACATATGAAAGTTCTGCCATCTCTCATCATCCCATACCTGCATCACAATCTGATCCCACCACTCGGTGCTTGTTTCCCAAGCCCAATAGCAACAGTCCACCGTGTACAGCTGCTCTGTGAATGCCATCATCAATCTTGAATTGTTTCTTTCCACACAGCAGGGACAGCACCATGGATTCCTGTTCAGATTTGCAGCTCACGAAATACTGCAGGATCAGCTGCGTTGTGTTGATAATGCTTATCACAAGAGTGGGGAGCAATGTAGGATCTATGCTTTCAAGCGGAGATGGCAGGGGCAAAGTTTACGGGGCAGCTGAAAAGCAGCGCGCAACGCAGCCCGAAGCCCTTGGACTTATGGGACGGAGAAAACTGCATCATGGAGCGGTGATCCCACCCCCATGATGCATTGCGATCCATTCCCAGAACTCCTAGCAGAAGAAGGTGGCAATTTGCACAGTGGGCTAGCTACCCATGGTACACTGCTCTCTCTGTCAGTGCTAGAGCACCAACTGTGGACACAATCTGCCAACACAAGAAGCATTGTGTGAACATACATAAGCAATGTAATTACAGCAGTTTATAATCATTGACGTAACTTAAGTTGACCTAACTCTATAGTGCAGACATGGTCTCAATCTCCCTGGCTCCAGATTAAGCCCATTACTCCTTTTCCTACCATTAGAGGATATAATCGACAATTGATCACCATCCTTTCTATAACAGGCCTTAACATATTGGAAGACTATTATCCCCCCTTCACCCCCAGTCTTCTTTTCTCAAGACTAAATATGCCCAGTTTTTTAACTTTTCCTCATAGGTAAAGTTTTCTAAACCAGTGGTTCTCAACCAGAGGTATGTGTACCCATGGGGGTAAGCAGAGATCTTCCGGGGGGTAAATCAACTCATCTAGATATTTGCCTAGTTTTACAACAGGCTACATCAAAAGCACTATCAAAGTCAGTACAGACTAAAGTTTCATACAGATAATGACTTGTTTATACTGCTCTACATACTATACTTTGAAATGCAAGTACAATATTTATATTCCAGTTGATTTATAGTTATATCGTAAAAATGAAAAAGTAAGCAATTTTTCAGTAATAGCATACTGTGACACTTTTGCATTTTTATGTCTGATTTTGTAAGCAAGTAGTTTTTAAGTGAACTTGGGGATACACAAGACAAATCAGACTCCTGTAAGCGGTATAGGCCAGAAAGGTTGAGAGACACTGTTCTAACCTTTTATCATTTTTGTTCCTCTCCTCTGTCCAATTTATCCACACCTTTCCTAAAGTGAGGTGCCCAGACTTGACACAGTACTCCAGCTGAGGCCTCACTATTGCTAAGTAGAGCAGGACATTTACCTCCCATGTTTTACATATGACATTTCTGTTAATACACCATAGAATGATATTAGCCTTTTTCACAACTGCATCACGTTGTTGACTTATATTCAACTTGTGATACACTAAAACTCCAAGATCCTTTTCAGCAATACTACTACTTAGCCAGTTACTCCCCATTTTGAAGTTGTACATTTGATTTTTCCTTCTGAAGTTAAATTCTTGTCTCTTTTGAATTTCATCTTGGTGATTTCTAAAATCAATTTCCCAAGATCATTTTAAATTCCAATTCTGTCCTCCAAAGTGCTTGCGATGCCTCCCAGCTTGCTATCATCCACAAATTTCATTCTCTCCACTCCATTATCCTAGTCATTAATGAAAGTACTGAATAGTATCAGACCCAGGACTGTCCCCCCTGCAGAGCCCCCTAGACATACCCTACAATTTGACAGAAAACCACTGATAACTAGTCTTTGAGTAAGGTCTTCCACAACCAGTTGTGCACTCACCTTATAATGATTTCATCTAGACCACATTTCCCTAGTTTGCTTATGAGAATGTCATGTGGGGCTGTCAAAATCCTCACTAAAATCAAGATATGTCATGTTTCTTGCTTCTCCCCTATCCACTAGGCAAATAACCCGCTCAAAGAAGAAAATTAGGTAGATTCCCCAACCCTGGACCCAGCAGGGCCAGCAGCCCCGATCCCAGACCCTGTGGGGCCAGGCAGCAGCCCTGCCCCTGCCCCTGCTGGGTAGCTTGGACCCTGCTACATTGGGCAGCCAGGCACCCAGACCCTGCCGTGTGGCCTTTAGCACACAGATGGGCCACAGCTGTGTGCTAATTGGGCTGCATGTGGCCTGTGTGTTGAGAACTGCTGGCTTATGTACTAATATACTTTCAGTTCTTCTTAAATAAGATGGGGATCCTATGAAAAAATATTATGTGATCACGTTACCAAAGACTGTATTATAATTTATATGCACAAGGGTGCTGAACTGAGGTTGCAGAGGCAACCTAATTTTGGCATTTCCTAACTTTTGAGTGTTTGACTTTGCAACCTTAATGCTTTATAACTCAATTTTTTGTGTGTAATTTTCTAGGTTTTAGAAAAAGCAAACCAAAACCACAGAAATTCCACCATGTGGTATCACACTGGCACCCACGTCAGCTTTATATCTCCATCTGAGCTGACTGAGCCTGAGCAGTCAATTGCATTACTCAGTATTGGGAGACTTGGTTGAAGGCCAAATAAGACTGTGGTGGTGATGGCTGATTGGGTGAAGCAACTGTAAGATACAGTAAGGATAATACCAGCCCCTCTGTCTGAGGGATGCTGCTGCCACTTGTTGACTAGATATGCAAGCCGTAGGGCTGGTTAGACCTCAGCTGCTGCTAGACAAGCAAGTACGGTAGAAGTGAGAGCCAGATTGGCTTCTTTCCAGCTTTGGACCACCAAAAGGCTAGAACCACTTCTTTGACATGTGGGCCCTGCAACTGTAATTCATGCCTTTGTCTCCTCAGGATTAGATTTCTGCGTTTATTTTAAAACCCTGATAAAAATGAGATCAGTGGAGCCACTTGAGCTGGAGCCCTATTGGTATAAATGAGAGAGGGCTGCTGATATACCATCATTCGCTACAGACCCTTCTGTTTGGATTTTGTTCCCCTTTCTTGATCAACAATGGCCAAGTTTGTTGACCTTCAGGGCATGCTGCATGACCCATATTTTCTCCCTTGATTTTAGGGAGTGAGGAGACTTGTGAAAATAGCGCCGTTGTCAAACAATACTTCAATACTCAGGAAAAGTCACTACAAAACACTTCAGTTTGCTGAGCCAACTGATGTCCCTGGTGCTGCAAAGCTTCCAGGGATAGATTCACAATGGGAACTTAAGCACTGCAAGTTGGGTACCCTGCTACCTAGTGGAATTCAATGCATGCACAAATACCAGCATGTTGAATGATGAAATGCTTAAGCTAGCCAAAAGGAAATGCTGAGGAGAGTAGTAGGCCCCACACCGTGCCCCTCAAAAGGAGTTAGATGCCTGAGTCCAGGCTAGAGGGAGGCACCTATCTCTACCTGGGATTCATAACCATGTACCTCTCTCTTGGAGTTTAACCCGGCTTAAGCACCAGTCATTTCTCAGGCAGAGTAGGGATTTGAACCTTCATCTCCCATATCCTGTGTGAAAAACTCTAGTGACTGGGCTAGGAAAAGGCAGAGTCCTCTACCCCTTAGCCCCACTAGCTAGAATTTTCACACTAGTTTTCACACCGGATATGGAAGACATGGGTAAATCACCACTCTGCCTGAGTTGGAGCAGGGACTTAAACCCAGGTGTCTCACCTCCCAGATGAGGGCGATTTAGCCTGCTGAGTACATGCCTGCCACCAAAATTTAGGTGCCTCAGGGACGGAAACTCAGGCACCTAAGAATGCCCGTGATGCTGAAATGTTGGACTTAGGCACTTCAACTGGCAGTTAGACAACAAAGTCCCACTTGTGAACCTAACCCCCCGTATGTTTGAGGTATGGTTCTGACGCTTTCACTGAAGATGTAATACCAGGACATACAAATGATGATGTAAAGAGGGGGAAGAGATTGATCACCAACTTGCATAAGATGCCAAATAGCTGAACCGACTGAGCCACTGTTAGACAAACCAAGAGATTTTCCCAGTGGCAAGACCTCAGCTGATTTCCTCTACCATGGCACTCAGAAAGTGTTTGCTTTCTCTGAAGAACTACCCAGTTTTAGATCCAGAACCCTGCAAGTTTTCATCCTTGTATGGCTGTGAGTAGGTTTTCCCTTGATCATAGTGATTAAAAAAACAAAATATCGCGAACTGTTGATCAAAAATTATTAAACTGTGTATTACCCTAATTCAATCTCCTGTAGAACATCTTTCTTCGGCAAGACCAGCTTCCCCACCATACTGAATTGTGAATTTCTTTAATATTTTGCAATTTTTAATAACACTTCATAACGGTTTGCTATTTTAATACTGTTATTGCAAATATTTACCTGGTTATGTTTATTGGTGGTCTGGACAGATTATGGAATGTTTCATAATCCCCCCAAGGTTCATCAGCTCCAAAAGCTTGAGAAATCCTGCAATAAAGGATTTAGATTAACTAAAACAAACAACTGAAGGCTTTTCTGTTAAAACCTGTAGGCTGAGATTGTTAAAGCTACGTAAGGTATTTGGACACCCACTTCCTCTTTAATATTAATGAAAATCAACATTCTAAAGTATTTGTGTGTCTACTACACAGAGTGCTCCAAGAGTCTTGTTGGAGCATTAATTACTTATCTAGAGACAATGGACAGTAGTGACTTAGATGAGAACAAAAACTATTGCCTCTAGGTTTTGAGGAACCCAAGACATACAGAGCTCAAGCAATCTTCAGTAATCTCAAAGCACATAGGGGAAACAGGGTTGTTGGATGAGATTTGAAGTCTGTGGCAAAACGAAGAGTATAAGGAAGCTAATAAACCACATTAATGTAGAGCATTTTCTCAATCAGTGGATCTCAGCCTGTGGCCCGCTTGCACATGCCAATCAGCACACAGTTGCGATCCATGTGACATCCTCAGGGCCACACAGGTAGTACATGTATTGCTTGGATGCAGCCCACATAACACAGAGCTGCATATGCAGCCCACAATGGTAAATAAGTTGAGAACCACTGCTCTACATGAATAATAATCAAAGGACAACTAATAAAGTGTTCAAATCAATTCACTGGTGGTTAGGAAGTCAGTGAAGCTAATACTGAGTTAAGTAAAATGTGTAATTTATATGAACTTATTGGAGGATTTTCAGTTCCTTGCTGCTGTTTCTGAAGTTCCCCTGGGAGCTCAATTAGACAATCTAATGGGTGGGTGGGGAAGGGGAGGGGGAGAGAAAAGCAGGAATTAAAACAGTCATCCAACCACAATGAAGAACATTTACTAATTATTACCATTCAAAAAAGTCAGTTGTACTACATTACCACTGGGAACTACAAGCAGAAATTACTGTAACAGGAAATTTTATTTCAACTAATTTTATTTCACTGAAAATTGTATCAGCAAACCATGCAAATGTATTACCCCTCCCACAATCTACTGAACTTCTAGTACTTGCTTGGCATTGTTTTAATTAGGGAATTCTGAACAACTTTTCTTTTTTATTCTACTAACTAGACGAAGTTTAAGAATTTGTCAGTTTGATTTTGGAAAAATTCCAGTTTAAACTAAATGCAGTGCTGTAATTTGTTGAAGAAAACAATTTTTCTAGTGGTCTTTGAACAATGCAACTTTTCAGCAGAGTCCAAGGGGAAAAAAAAGCCTAATCCTTGACTGCCACCTTTTATTATAAACAAACAAAACAAAAACCAACTCACAAATAAAACAAACAAACAAAAACCCAAAAACATTTCAGGAGGATATAGGGAAAAAAAAAAAAAAGAGAGAAAGAGACAGATGTGCTGAGATGACAGGAAGGAAGATAATCTTAAAACAGGGCTCCCAATACTAATTTTTATGAATATTTAAGTCAACTGAACGTTAGGGTAAAACTGTGACATGGCATAACATAGACAATTAAGTATGTGACTAAATGACTCATTTTGACCATCTGATTCTATTTGAAGTGTCACTCAAAACATGCATGATACATGAATGCACTTATCAATATGTGAGTCTTCAGGATTGACAAGGAAGATATGCTCATGTTCTATGGCTACAAAAAGCAAAGTAATTTCATGGTGATTCCAGATAGTTTTACTGATTCCTGGTAAATTTTAAAACCGTGATCAGTACGCTAGGTTACAAATACAAGAGATGGGAATTGGATTATTTGGTTTTAGTAAATAGTTCTGGAACTTTTTATCTGTAGATTCAAATACAAACTATTGTACCTGGAACTTGTAGTCAGTTGATGGCTGTTCAGTGGTCTATGTAAAATGAGCTCGTGATCTCAGTTCAGAAAACTGGAAAAGCAATTCCATAGCAAGTGGCATAAACCTCTTTGAAAATGAAGAGTTTATTACACTGATATAAGAAATAGGAAAGGGCTTCATAATGTTCCTGTCCTAGTTACATAGTATGTATGGACATGATTCCAATAAAGAAGCAACATCAGAAAAACTGAAAAAGTTCCAACGATTATTTCAGAACTAAGTTCCTAAAATCCAACATCTACCATGAGGAAGAGTAATTGGAAGGGTATTGAAGACCAAACAGTCCTTCTGAGAGCAGTATAGATTTCTAAATGGAGAGCTAGGAGATGGTAGTGCTGTAAGAGTGTTGAGAAAGGAGTCTGATCTTCCTTTTGAATGAAAGAGATGTGTACCCTAACATTATGAAGAAAAGCAAGAGGAGTAGAAATAGAATTCCTGGTACTGTCTTTCTAACCTGATAGTATGGCAGGAAATAAATGTTAATAAATTTCACAAGTCATATAGCTGTGAAGAGGGTTGTTACAGCCCATATGGAGAGATTCAAGCCACAGCATCAGCTTCAATTTATCCAGCCCAAATGCTGTCCCCTCATCTCAAATGATCAACAGTTCCAGGGTAGTGTGTCACCTCAGGCATTGTGCTGCTTCATTCAGTGATCTGGACATAATGGAGATGAAATCTTTCCATATCTATTTTACACATTTAGTTGAAGTGAGAAAAAACTGTAAAGTTCCCTGACTCAAACAGGAGATAAAGCTTTTTTCAGAAGCATCAAGAGTCAATTAAGACACAGTCCAAGGATCAGGTAAAAATTTTCCCACTTCCATGCACCTGTGCAAAGTGGATGTAAAATAATAATATTCTGATTTAGCAGCATTTTACATCCATTTTGTATAGATTTAAATGCCTACACAAGGCACAAGTCAGTGGAAAATCTACCCCAGTGTTTCCCAGATTGAGCTGTTTAAATGTAACCACTAGTGGGTAGAAATAGCATAGTCCTAGAAGAGTGAGAAAAATTACTCCCAGGCGGTGTAACGCTATCTTAGAGAATGATGTTATGGTTACATAGGGTCTGCCAGCTACTAAGTATGAAAAAAACACATCCATAAAATAGAGAGCCAATCTATGGCCTACACTTTCCATCACTATGGTCAAACATATACCTCTGCATACATATACACCAGTAGATGGAACTCTAGGAGGAGTCTTAACTCTCGATGGGAACTCCTCCTGCCCCTAACCCTTTCTACACTTGCATGGCTCTCTGCACTCCTGGGTTTTCCAATGATAAAGGCCTAGTCTACATTTAGATCACCCTCACCACATGGCTCAGGGCTGTGAAAAATTTAATGCTGTGTGACATAGTTAGGTCAACCTAGTGCCCACTGTAGATGCAGCTAGGTCAATGGAAGAATTATTCCATCAAGCTGGCTACTGCTTCTCAGGAGGTGGATTTACTACAGTGATGGAAAATCCTGTTCTACTGCTGTCCTAAGTATCTACATTACAGCGCCATGGTTATGCTAAAGTGGCACAGCTACGGCTCTGCAGCTGTACTGCTGTAGTCAGGGCCAGATTAACTTTTTGTGGGCCCGGTACCAAACATATTTGTGAGCCCCCCTGGGGAATGAAGGGGCCAGGGGCAAGAGCACAGCGGGTAGGGTGGATTTGATTTAAATCACTAGTCAGGAAGACTCGATTTAATCATAGATTTCTACATAAAAGTGCATTCTTGTTGGTTATTATAACCTTAATACATATTCTTCACAACTCAGAGATAGATGTAGGTTTCATTTTTAGAAGGTACATATTATACATTTTTAAACAGTGATTTATTTTGAAAACTTTTCAGATTAGTTTTACAGCTATCAGAAAATGAATGATTGTTTGGTTATTTCATTTACCAAAGATAACCGAAGCAGACAGTTCACCTCCCAATGACTTCTTAAATATCTCCAGTTCAACAGGTTAATCATTAATATTTGGAGGATTTTCTTGCCAGGCTGTATTAGGAGGAGATCACCACCAGACAGACATTTAAATTGCTTTATTTAACTAAAACAACAATGTGAAGTATTCTGGATTTTTTTCTTCAACAGCAAACATATAATATTTTAACAAAAAAGCATGTGTCCCTCACTTCTAACATTTATCTCCAGACTTCTTCTCCTTGTCCAGATCTATTCTGCCCCCAACAATCTTCTATTCATTGAACTTTTTGAAACTTTGCACTTCTAGAGAGAGGTAAGGGATTGACTCCATGTACTCAAATTTGCAGAGGGACAATAGAGTTGAGGTCTGTTATTTTTCACCTCTCTATATTATTTATTTAAAAACACTTTTGCTGTTAACAAGCATGTTACCTCTGGAGACACAAATCCACAGTATAAGAACTGCAAAACTAAGCATCTCTGATGGTATCTTCTAGACTGAGCACTGAGTCCCATTGGGTAGACAGAAAGATTAACCTAAATAATCTACACAGAGCCCCTGGAACCCCAACAGATTGGGTCCCTAATCCATGAACTATTGGAACTCATTTACAAAACTTTTCCTAAACATTACATGAATATATTGTCTCATACTATAGAATTAGAATTTATAATCCCTATTCCATGATGAGATATAGTGTATCTAACTTTACATAGGCTTTTCCCTCAAAAATCCAATTTAAATTAAAAAATCCAATTTTTTTATTTCTTTTTTTTAAATATTGATTTGTATCCACCCTGACAGCAAGGCATGATGTGTGGGAGAGGATTGGTCCCCAGCTGGAGCAAGGCAGGGGCCAGGGTCAAGATGAGCACAGTAGGGCATGGGGGGCAGATTAGTCCCTGCTGACTGGAGCAAGGCAAGGCCCGGGGGCAAAAGCATAGCAGGGTAGGAGCTAGGGTTGGTCCCTAGAGCAAGGGAGGGGCCAGGGGTAAACTGGATCCCCCCCGCCCCTGCCCACATAGAGCAGGTACCTACCTTCTCCCTAGTTCTAGCCCATTCTCTTTGTCGCTCTCTGCACTGAGCTGAGGGTGGGGGTGCAGGGTCTGGGAGGGAGTTAGGATGCAGGAGCAGGTTGGGGGTGGAGGGTCTGGCCAGGAGTTAGGGTGAAGGAGGGGGCTTAGGGGTGGGGTAGGAGGTTGGGGTGTGGAGCGCTTACCTGGGGTAGCTCCTGTTTGGTGTGAGGGGTGCAGGTGGAATGTGGGTGTGTGTGTGTGTGCAGGAGCTCCTGTTTGGTGCTCAGGGTGAGGATGTGGGGGGGGGGGTGCAGGAGTCAAGGCATGGGGTATGGGGGGGCTGAGGGTGTATGAGGGGGGTGCAGGAGTCAGGTCAGATGGCTGGGGGTGTGGGCTGGGGTCATGGGGGTGCTCCCAGTCCCCAGCCCTGAGCCATTCATGGCAGGTGGCTGAAGGAGGTATGCCCCAATTCCATCCCCTTCCCTAAGGCCCTGCCCCCGCCTCTTCTCCACCTCCTCCCCCTAGCGCAAGCACACTGCAGCCCCGCTTCTCCTCCTCCCTCATGCCAGCAAACAGCTTTTAGGTGGCGGGGGAGGGGTGGGAACACGGCACACTTGGGGGAAGAGGCAGGGGAGGAGCTTGGCTGCCAGTGGACCAAGCTTCTGCCAGTTGCCACCGCAGGAGAAAGCAGTGGGCAGAGAAGAGCGGGCCAGACCAGGGCCCCATTAGAGTGTGGGCCCAGCGCCATGGCGCCATTGTAAACCCAGCAGTGGCTGCAGTGTACACGTATCCTTGAAAAGATCAATTAACTACATCAAGGGAAAAAACACTTCTGTGCATGTAGAAAGACTCTACATTATAATACTACAGAAGCATGGCGCAGGGCTGTAGCGGATCCACTTTAGTGTAGACATATCTACTGTGCTCAAAGGTCTGAAAAATCCACACACCCCTGAATATTGTATCTATGCCAACCTAATCCCCAGTGTAGACACAGCCAGGATGAGGAAAGAATGCTTCTGTTGACCTACCTACTGCTGCCTGGGGGAGGCGGAGTTCCTACAGTGACGGACCAATCCTTTCCATTGCTGTGCTGCTGTAGTTCCCATAGCAGAGACATGGCCTAGTGACTCCATTCCCCTAACCCAGGGGTTCTCAAACTTCATTGCAACGCGACCCTCTTCTGATAACCAAGATTACTTCACAACACCAGGATGGGGGACCAAAGCCTGACCCTGCCCAAGTTCCACTGCCCTGGGTGGGGGGGCCAAAGCCTGAGCCTCATTGCTCTGGGCAGGGGTGCCAAAGCTGAAGCTCAAGGGCTTCAGCCCCAGGCAGGGGCCTGCAACCTGAGCCACAAAGCCCAGGGCTGAAGAAGCCCTCCAGCTTTGGCTTCGGTCCTGGGCAGTAGGGCTTGGGCTTCAGCCCTGGTTCCCAGCAAATCTAAGCCAGTCCTGGCAACCCCATTCAAAGGCGGTTGGTTGTAACCCACTTTGGGGTCTGGGCCCACAGTTTGTGAACCGCTGCGATCTAACCAGACAACTCCTACCTACTAACCCCCTGACACTGCTGAAATAATAAAGACTCCTCTCCCTCCTCACCAAAATTAAATAAAAGTATTAGAAAGGGAGTGGGGTACGCAGTGTAAGACTAGAACACCCACCATTCACCCCCCTGCTCGTCAATCTGAGGCCCCACAAGGCTTGCTGCAGAGTTTCTCTCCAGGGAGCCCAATGCCAGAAGATGGTCAGCAGCCGTAGCATCTCCACTGTTGCTCTGAGCGTAGGTCGCGCTGTGCTCTCAGTCCCATCCTCCACTGATAGCAAGGGCCACCGTGGGGACGGGGCCCTTCCAAATAAAACTGGAAACGCACCAGCTCAGGGTGGCCATGAGAAACGATGATAAATCGCACGACCGTTGTTTTACACCCATCGCACGCACAAGGGGCAAGGCAGAGGGAACATTAGTCACTAGCCCAGCACTACAGTTTCAGCCTGCTCGCGGGTGCCAGCACAAGCACACCCTCCCGTCAGCCGTGGTGATACATCACCAGGTGTTTCGGAGCGCGGCGGGGGGGTGGGGGGGAGCGCTGCGGCAGAAAACACCTCCCCAGATCCACCCCGATTGGGGCCGCGCACGGCGCTGCCCATCCAGTACGGCGGGGAGGCTCCCATCGTTGGTTTTGCTGTTTGTGCGGCACACGGTGTCACAAGGGATGGGCGATTCTGGTAAACGGCCCCCAAATGGTACCTAGTTTTTGGGCAGCCCCCATGGCCGCAGCTCCTGCGGAGAGTCTGAGAGGCCGGCGCCAACCCCCCAGCTGCTCCGGGCGCCCCCTGACCCCGCCTCCCCTCATGAGCGACGTTTAAACAGCAGCTTGAGCGGCTTGGCCCGGCCGCACGCAGGAGGCGGGGCTGGGCGGGGGTGTGAAGGGCTCGGCATTTCGGGGCGGGGGGGGCGCGGGGGGGAAATCAGGCTTCGGGCGCCTCTCGGTTAGGCGGCCGGATCTCCGCTCGCGGGCAGAGGGATACCCACGGCATTCTACACAAGGTGCGCATGCGCTACTTTCCCGCGCGGTGGGAGGAGCAGAAGGGAGACGGTGTGCCGCCCTTCATCTCACACCGGCACGCGCTCAACTGCTCAGCAATAGAGCGCGCACGCGCACTCCCTCGGCCCCGCTCAGCGTGCGAGCCAGAGGCAGTTAGTTCCACCGCGCGTGCGCTAACGGTCTCCGCCCAACGTGTTTCGCGAAGCTGTCATGGCGACTCCCTGAGGCCGGTTGCTGCACATGGGTTGGGAGCGCGGCGGTTGCGGTCAGTGAGGGAGCAGCGCCTCAGCCTGGCCGGTGGGGGTCCGAAGAGTGAGCGCGAGGCGGCGGCAGGAGGCGTGGAGGATGTGGGCGCTCGAGCGGGCGCTCCTGAGGGGCTTCCCCAGCGCCGCGGAGTCCCGGCGGGGGAAGCAGAGCGAGCTGGCCGCGGCAGGTGAGAGGCCGGGCCCGGGTCCCCGAGGCTGCGGCGAAGCCGGACCGGAGGGATGTGCCGGTGGTGCCGCCTGCTGGGGATGCTGATAATTGCCCCGCTCTGCGGAGCGAGCCCAACCCCAAGCGCGGCAGGGTCACCGCCCCGCTCACCGGGCCCCCGCCTTAGCGCACCGCGCAGGAGAGCGCAGGGTTATTACTTATAACAACGCAAGATACACCTGAGCAGGGCGTTACCGGCTCTGCTGCTGGTGGGGAATGGCACCTTGTTGCCCTCGAACAGAAGGGCCAGGTAGCATCGCTTCACAGGGTCTGTCTCCTGCCGAGCAGGGCGCGTTCTCCGCTCGGTGTCCAGTGGCTGTGAAGACACAGCAGCGTTGGTTAACAGCTGTAGTTAAGCCTATAGGGCTGCGTCTGCACGGCAAAGTGAAAGTATGATAGTAGCCGGGCCGACATACTTGTCTTAGCCTTAATTTAGCTAGCATGGGTACTAATAGCGGCGTAGATGTGGATGGTGGCACAGCTTAGCAACCGGAGTATGTTCCCAGGGACCCTTGGAGGGCTTGTACTCTGGTTGCTAGCCCGGGTTGAAGCCTGTACTGGTATGGCTGTGCTACTGTTGTTATACGCGGTAGTAGACTAGAGCTAGCATAGGTATGTCTGTTTCTGCCACAGTCGCACCTTTACTTTGCAGTATAGATGTCCCCTGGAAGGAGTTTGAGGTTGAACTCGAACTGCTAACTGGAGTTAAAAGTTGAGTTGCAGTGTCTTCACTGCTATTTTAACCCAAGTATGGTAGCTTGAGTTAGAACACACCTTTTTTGCCATACCAATGAGGAGTCCTTGTGACACCTTAGACCAGGGGTGGCCAACCTGAGCCTGAGAAGGAGCCAGAATTTACCAATGAACATAACCGAAGAGCCGTAGTAATATGTCAGCAGACCCCCATCAGCTAACCCCTTCCAGCCCCTAGCGCCTCCTGCCCACCAGCAGCCCCACCAATCAGTGTCTCCCTCTCCTTCCCCATGCTTCTCTCCCACTGCAATCAGCTGTTTTGCAGTGTGCGGGAGGCTCTAGGGTGGGTGGGGGAGTGAGGGCATGGCATGCTTGGGGGAAGGGGTAGAGTGGTGGCAGGACATGGGGCAGAGCAGGGGTTGAGCAGTGAGCATCCCACAGCACATTGGAAAGTTAGCATCTGTAGTTTCAGCCTCGGACTCAGTGCCTATGCAAGGGGCCTCATATTAACTTCTGAAGAGCCACAGGATGGCCACCCCTGTCTTAGAGACTAACAAATTTATTGGGCATAAGCTTTTGTGGGCTAGAACTCACTTCATCAGATGCATGGAGTGGAAAATACAGTAGCAGGTATATTTATACATAGTACATGAAAAGATGGGAGTTTCCTTACCAGGTGGGGGGTCACTCTAAGGAGACAATTCAGTTAACAATAGAATACCAAAGGAAGAAAAATCACTTTTGTAGTGGTAATGAGGGTGGCCCATTTCAAACAGTTGACAAGAAGGTGTGAGTTACAGTAGGGGAAAATTAGTATGGTAAAATTAGGTTTTGTAATGACTCATCCACTCCCAGTGTTTATTCAGGCCTAATTTGATGGTGTCCAGTTTGCAAATTAATTCCAGTTCTGCAGTTTCACATTGGAGTCTGTTTTTGAAGATTTTTTATTGAAGAATTGCCACTTTTAAGTCTGTTATTGAGTGACCAGGGAGGTTGAAGTGTTCTCCAACTGATTTTTGAATGTTGTAATTCCTGATGTCAGATTTGTGTCCATTCCTTTGCGTAGAGACTGTGCGGTTTGGCCAGTGTACATGGCAGAGGGGCATTGCTGGCACATGATGGCATATATCACATTGGTAGATGTACAGGTGAACGAGCCCCTGATAGTGTGGCTGTTGTGATTAGGCCCTATGATGGTGTCCCTTGAATAGATATGCAGACAGAGTTGGCACTGGGATTTGTTACAAAGTTTGGTTTCTGGGTTAGTGTTTTTGTTGTGTGGTGTGTTTTTGCACAAAGCTGGTAAGTATTTGCTTCAGGTTGCGAGGGCTGTCTGTAAGTGGGGACTGGTCTGTCTCCCAAGGTCTGTGAGAGTAAGGGATCGTCCTTCAGGATAGGTTGTAGGTCCTTGATGATGCACTGGAGAGGCCCAAAATGGCATAATTTGGCTTGTGCCAACCAGGGCTGACTTTTTATTGCAGGGAAGGAGAGCAAAACATTGGTACATGCTAGTTATTCCATATTTTTATCAGTCATGTAACTAATAACAATGAAAGGTACTTTCCTTGGGAGGGTCTGATGAGGCTGTTAAGTGGCCCATTTTTCTTCTAACACACTCTTAGTGGCTTTTTAAATGCAATCTTTCATTCTTTGTGAGGAGCCTCTTAGAATCATAGAATCATAAACTATCAGGGTTGGAAGGGACCTCAGGAGGTCATCTAGTCCAACCCCCTGCTCAAAGCAGGACCGATCCCCCAATTAAATCATCCCAGCCAGGGCTTTGTCAAGCCTGACCTTAAAAACTTCTAAGGAAGGAGATTCCACCACCTCCCTAGGTATCGCATTCCAGTGTTTCACCACCCTCCTAGCGAAAAAGTTTTTCCTAATATCCAACCTAAATCTCCCCCACTGCAACTTGAGACCATTACTCCTTGTTCCGTCATCTGCTACCACTGAGAACAGTCTAGAGCCATCCTCTTTGGAACCCCCTTTCAGGTAGTTGAAAGCAGCTATCAAATCCCCCCTCATTCTTCTCTTCCGTAGACTAAACATCTCCAGTTCCCTCAGCCTCTCCTCATAACTCATGTGTTCCAGTCCCCTAATCATTTTTGTTGCCCTCCGCTGGACTCTTTCCAATTTTTCCACATCCTTCTTGTAGTGTGAAGCCCAAAACTGGACACAGTACTCCAGATGAGGCCTCACCAATGTCGAATAGAGGGGAACGATCACGTCCCTCGATCTGCTGGCAATGCCCCTACTTATACATCCCAAAATGCCATTGGCCTTCTTGGCAACAACGGCACACTGTTGACTCATATCCAGCTTCTCGTCCACTGTAACCCCTAGGTCCTTTTCTGCAGAACTGCTTCCTAACCATTCGGTCCCTAGTCTGTAGCGGTGCATTGGATTCTTCCGTCCTAAGTGCAGGACTCTGCACTTGTCCTTGTTGAACCTCATCAGATTTCTTTTGGCCCAATCCTCCAATTTGTCTAGGTCCCTCTGTATCCTATCCATACCCTCCAGCGTATCTACCTCTCCTCCCAGTTTAGTGTCATCTGCAAACTTGCTGAGGGTGCAATCCACACCATCCTCCAGATCATTAATGAAGATATTGAACAAAACCGGCCCCAGGACCGACCCTTAGGGCACTCCACTTGATACCGGTTGCCAACTAGACATGGAGCCATAGATCACTACCCGTTGAGCCCGACAATCTAGCCAGCTTTCTATCCACCTTATCCATTCACCCAGCCCATACTTCTTTAACTCTTCTGTATGTCAAGCACAAATAAGCATTTGCCCTCTCAAGCCAGGTCTCCACCTATTGAAATACTTAAGTGTCAGTGGGGAGAGAGACTTCTGAGCTTTGACTAAGCAAGTGGTGGATTTTGAAAGAGAATGGCACATGTCCAGATGGATACCAATTCCATCACAGTAATATCCAAGCACCTTCCAGTTTTTTATTCAGTGATGTGACTAACATCTGTCATGCGATTTCCCTATTATCCTTTCCCCGGTAAGAGAATTGTGTGTGCCGAGTAATGCTGCTGTGTGTGTTTTGTAGAGACGACAACATTGGAGTGCACCTTGTACATGGAACAGAAGGTGGGAAGGTTTGTAATGGTTCTTTGTTCCTGTGGGAGTTCATTTCTTAGCTTCAAACTATCCATTGAGAAAGCTCTGTCTGTTTCCCATTTGTGCTTCACCCTTACAGTAGAGAGTCCTGTTGTGTTTCAGGAGTGGAGTTGTCAACCATGGTCTTCACCTGGAGCTTTATGTGATCTTATGGATATACTGGGTCCAGTCCATTGACCATCCTGAAGATAAGGTCCAAAATCTTGAACTTGATTTGATATTCTTTAATAAGTCAGTTTATAGAATGAAGGAGAGGTTTGATGTGCTCACAGTAGTAGCTTATGTTAAAATGAATGTATCCAGGGTGGGTTTCTTTATTGTTGGTCACACTATCACATTCCTTCCCTGAACAAGGGATAGGCTGTTCTGGTGAGTGGCAACAGTTGCTCATGACCCTTTCTTCAGCCAGGAAGAGCATTGGTCAAATTCACAAGTCTTGGGTCAAGACTGAGTACTTACAGAGGTCCAGTGCTTCTTGAGGATTGAATGTACTGACCTGCAGGAAAACAGGCATGCTGTTTGTTGTCCATCATAAAAGAAATAGACCCATGCTGTTTGAGAAGCTTTCCTAAATGTGTGTGAACTTTTCAGCACTGTAGGATGATAGTTTTTTGCAGCGCTTCACTAGGAATAGATTTAGGCCTAGCTTGAGCATTTCTGAAAATTCCATTCTGTGTGCAAACTTCTTGATGATAAATGGTAAATAGTTTCCTTATCTATATAAGAGTTTATCTTGCTCATTCCTTGTGAATATCTTTGGCAGCTACAGGAAGGAGTGTGTGATATATGCTATGTTAAATGGAAATTTATTC